CTGAAGAGGAGGACTTCGATGGTTTCAGTGCACCGGAGGATGATGAATGAGACGTTTTGTTGGACCAGAAGCAGTTAAAGAAAACTACCAAAATAAGGTCAGTTAAATGAACCGTATTCCTCCAAACTTTAATTCCTAAAGGTTTGCTTTTTATGTTTTGATGTTGAATTCAGTTTTTTGACGACAATTTTGGGTGTACTGTTTTTTTTATGTTGGGGTGCGGCTTATAGTCCGAAAAATACGGTAATATTTAACCAAAAATAAGAGATCCTTGCTAAATAATAAATCTTTATAACTTGTTATAAGAGGTGTAGGTGTATTCCTACACAAACATGTCAAGTTGTATGGATTGTTCTAAGTTACACAAGTTTTCCACTATTTTGCGTGTTACAGACATACAGTKAAAGTCTCATTTTTTAATATAAACTTAGCTTTAATTTAATTTTATGTTTCAGGGCCTGTAAGGAAATGCTTGGTTCTCCTCATCCCACGTGACTGTACCTGCTCCACAAAGACCGTAACCCCCCTCCCCCCCAACCCCAGGCTAATCTCCAGCCGGGTGACATAATGAAACAATAGGAGCTTCTGATGAGATCAAGGAGAGGGACCTTCAATACCCTGAAGTTTTATTATGTTTGCTGGTCATACCTCCATCTCTGATGCCTGACAGGAATCTCTGTGGYTCCTGAGACGGCTCAGCAGCCTCTTCATCCCAGCACTGACATCACCTACAGACAGAGTCTTTAACTCTGCTTCTAGCTCCTCCCCCATGAGCTGAGTCAAGTGGCCAGGCCTTAGCAGGTCTGCAGACTCCTCCTCCTTCTCCTCTGAACCTTCTGGAATAACAAAAACAAGAAAAACTGTTAACGTAAAAAAAACTCTTCTATTCTTTGAGCAATAGTATTGTGTGGGAAYGCAGAAGAAGAAAAAAACACCCCCCATGCCCCTTTACTGGCTCTGTCCTTTACAAACATAGAAAATAATTGATTTTAGTCTCTGTTAAAATGCTACATTTAAAATGTTGGTGACAAAAAGGCAGAATTTTGTAACTATTACTGGGACAGATTAAAGCAAAATAAATAAATAAATATTTGAGAGTGGCTGTGGGTGAGTGGTTAGGGGAGTGGTGGGGGTCCGGATATCAGCACCTGTCTGCACGTCTTCAAGTTTGTCCTCCTGCTGCTCCTTCTCTCTCCTCTTCATCAGCGTCTGGACAGCACACAGCACTCTGCTGATGTTCGCCTCCAGCTCCGATGAGAACTCAGAATAAAAGCAAGAAGAGCGTTCTAGAAAGAAGAGAGAATCCTTCCATCAAACCTTGGCTCCAAAAGTGATTTTGCAACTAAAGCAGTTTTTCAGAGGATAAACACGTCAATCTGAAGAAATGTTGAAAGAGATACGATCGTTACACAAGCTTCCACATTTTATAACTTCATATTACAAACTTTTATAAATCTAAATGCTCAGATTTTATTATCTGTCTATCTGCATGTCAAATGATGTAGGGAATTGTTTTTATGTTGACTTTAATCAACGAATAACTACCTCTGACTGGAAACGATGTATAATTATTATGACTCGCTGTCATAAAAGGCAAACAGTCATGTAAATGTGTTTGTTAGCAAAATATTTCTAAAATTATAGAACAGGTTTTAATGAAACTCTCAATTTACACAGATTTTTCCCATTTTTCATGACTACAGACATACAGAGAAAATCTCACTGATTTCTTAAAGGGATCCATGGTTAGTTGTAACATTAGACTTTATTTGATAAACATATATTTTAACTGTAAAAATACTGTAGTCTGTTTTGTTTTGTAAATTTTTATAAATATATTAACACAGATGGAGCCATTTTATTTACACGCAAAGCATTCTGGGTAAATGATGATGTGGATAGGTCATTGGTGCGAGGCTGCTAGCGAGCTATATCCACCCTGAAGGTTAATCTTGGACAATATCTGATGATCGACTCTTTTAAATGAAACCAGAGAGCGTTGACAGAGAGGAGAAGGTAGAAATGACTCAGCCTGTAACTGAAAATTTAGCTTGTTTGTCACGCTAACACTGAGCTAATAC